GAAGCGCTGCAAGGTGCTCCCGGCGAAACACTGCGGAAACCATTGCATCGCCAACTGCAGGGTCATCTCCGGCTCCAGCGGGTGGTAATCCGTCAAGACTCGCCGGGCGACAGCATAGTCGCTGCAGGCGTCCGCCAGCCACTCAGTCGTGAAGCTGTCCGAAAACTTCGGCACGTAACTGGAGACGTACCGCAGCAGCATGCCACGCCCGTCGGCCATCTGCACATCCACGTGGCAGTACAGACTGGACAGGACATCCTTGATGTAGCCGCGGATGCCCTCGGGAGCGCCGTCCGCATTGTAGCGGCAAAAGTCCGACTCCGTGTGCTGCAACCGCAGCACCCCTGCCGAGGCGTCGTAGCGTGATGCGCTGGGCTCCAGTGGCCAGCCACTGCCGGTCCAAGAGCGCTGCGAGCCTTCGACGAGACAGCTCATGACAGGATTGTCCGCCGGCACCGTGGCGGCGAGGCTCTCCTCCAACTTGACGGCCTCGAGGTGCTGCAACCAGACCAGCAGGTGCAGGTGGACGGTGCCGCGACCATGGTAGAACTGGGACGCCGCCTCCTGGCCGTTGACGTAGCGGCGCTGCTTGCCGTCCTGATACTCCAGGCGGCCGAAGAAGTTGAGAACGGTCTTGCGGCCCGAGCCGTCCTTCGCGGCAAAGATGTGGAAGCCATGATCGTGTCATTCAGAGGTTTCAAAACCAATCAGAGGTTTCACAACCAAACACATGCATGTAAAATAAGCCAAAAAAACCTGTATATAGCATGCATTATGTCAGGATGACTGCTTGATGAGTTGAAAAAATGGCTGAAAAAAAGATGGTTCTAAAACATGGGCTCTCAAAAAAATGCTTTTTAAAACTTAAATAAAAAACATTGTCAAAACGGCCCCAAAAAAATTGACTCTAAGCTGCACAGCTCAATGTTCCAGCACAGTGCTTATATAGTTGTGCCTTCAAAGCCTCAGTAATCCAGCAGGGAAACCCTGAACCCTAACCCAAGGAGCAAGTCGGCACTGTGCTGAAAGGCGCTGCCTCCAAAAGGTTTGTGCCGAAAGGCGCAGCCTTGAATCCGAAACCCAAAACCCTAAACAACAAACCCTGGACCCTAACCCAAGGAGCAGGGGTGCAGCTCAAAATCGAAAGGCGCTGCCTGAGCAGAGCAAGACCCAATTTGTCATTCCAGGCTCAAGGGGGGCACAGGGGCGATCATGCTGTCAAACCAAACTGTAAACTGTCAACCCCAGCCCCCCCCCCCCCACCCCCCCTCTCCTTGCATTCTGGGCAAGTTGCGACGACCCAGATTTGTTCTTCTTCAGCAGTCCTGCCCTCGGCAAGGGTTTTCCTAGTGGTTTGCTTGAACAGGTGGATACTGGTAAGTTCTTCTGGGCATGAGCAGACACTGTTGATCCTGTGGTGAAGCCATGTGAATGTTGACTTTTTGCTTTGTCCTGTTTGTCGCTGTAAGGCATGTTGCTTCACTTCGAGAACTCCACACCAACAACACTGTGCGGCACTAAGCTGACAGTAGTGCAGAAATGCATTTCAGAGCTGTTCTTGCGGTTTGTGTGTGTGGGGGGGGGGTTTGTTGTCAGTGCACAAGTGCCACTCTGCCAGCAGTCATGAAACGAATCAGAATGTGACCCTCTGAAACCGTTGAGGCTCAAGTGCAGGGCTCATACAGTCGGTCACCGAAACACGAGCAGTATAGGTGCGATAGAGAAATCTTAAAGGACAGGAATTCCACTGAAAGGCTTCTATGCACAGGTGCGTCCAAAAAAACTGACGCACTCGGTCACCAAACATGAGCAGTACAGGCGCAATAGAGAAATCTTGAAGGACAGGAATTCCACTGGCTCAATGGGGAAAAAAGAGCAGAACCTGAGAAAGAAGAACACTCCCAGTGGCCGGGAGCGCAAAGACTTGCGATTGCAGTGCAACGACTTGAAGCAGAAGCTTAAAGACCTGCAGGCCCGGCATGTCCATTCATGGGAGTTGTTTTTTGTTGACCCTACTTGCCCGGACCCTGCTGTTGCCCAGAGGAGAAGTTTGACAAGCTGCAGCAGGAGCATAACCTCGGTCTCGAGGCCAATCTAGCTCTGGTGCAGGAGAGAGACCTTCTCTTGAAAGAGAACAAGGCCAGGTCGGGAAGCAAAAACATGCAAACACTTGCAATTTGCAATCTTGAAACATCCCTCAAGCTGTTGCCCAGAGGAGAAGGTTGACAACCTGCAGCAGCAGAAGGATGACCTCGAGCAGCAGCATGACCTTCTCTTGAAAGAGAGCAAGGCCAGGTCGGGAAGCAAAAACATGCAAACTCTTGCAATTTGCAATCTTAAAACATCCCTCAAGCTGTTGCCCAGAGGAGAAGTTTGACAACCTGCAGCAGCAGCAGCATGACCTCGAGCAGCAGCATGGCTTCGCCCTCCAGGTCAACCTAGCTTTCCTGCAGGAGAGAGACCTTCTCTTGAAAGAGAACGAGGCCAGGTCGGGAAGCAAAAACATGCAAACACTTGCAACTTGCAGTCTTAAAGCATCCCTCAAGGAGCTAAAGTCGTTCCAGCCAGCGCTGCTGAAAGCTCACAAGGAACGTATCCTTGAACTCCGGATCCAGAAGGCAGACGAAATCACAAAGGCCGACCAAACCGGGTTTGGGGTTGAGGGGTGCATGTTTGTCTTTAGGGTTTAGGGTTGGGGGTAAATGTTGAGTTGTTCCAGGCAAAAGAAGCCATCTTCGCGATGAGACTGGAAGAGTTACAAGCTGCCGCCTTGCAAGCTGCCGCCTCGTCTGCTGCAGAGTCGCAATCGCCCACCACGGTTGTAACACCCGACAAGGAGCCCGAGGATTCAGATTGAGTGGCTTGGGATGCACTCGGACTCCATACCCTTACTTTGCTAAACCTCTAAACCCACTGAAGCGCCGTTGATCTCCCAGGAACACCAGGATGATGTGGGATGATTGTGGCTACTTGTGCGGTCTTGGAATACTTACCAGTGATCTTCTTGGAGTTCTTGTGTTCCAGAGCTTTGTGAGTCGGCCCATCGTTGCGTCGATCATGTTTGGAAGGCAGTGCGACCTTCACTGTTTCACCAAATGCTCGCAAGCACAAGTGATAGCAAAGAAGCTTTGCTTTCTGACTGTGAGCTGGCTGACTCTGATCTTGATGTTTGTTGTCAGCGCACAAGTGCCACTCTGCCAGTGACCCTCTGAAACCGTTGAGGCTCGAGTGCAGGGCTCATACAGTGGGTCACCGAAACACAAGCAGTATAGGTGCAATAGAGAAATCTTAAAGGACAGGAATTCCACTGAAGGGCTTCTATGTACAGGTGCAGCCAAAAAAACCTGACACACTAGGTCACCGAAACACGAGCTGCCATGGACCCGCGGTCTGCTCTGAAGTCAAAAGCAAAGCCGACGGAGCCACCTGCACCTTGGCTGGATGCGCAGCGGACCTCAGAGCAGCAGCCGGCTCAGATGCTTCAGACTGCTCTGCAGACGAAAGCACAGCCGACGGAGCCACCTGCACGGCTGGATGCGCAGCGGACCTCAAAGCAGCCGGCTGAGCAGGAGCAGGGTGAGGTGGAGCTTCAGGGTGAGGTGGAGCTTCAGGGTGAGGTGGAGCAGGGTGAGGTCAAGCAGGGTGACGTGGAGCAGGGTGACGTGGAGCAGGGTGAGGTGGAGCAGGGTGAGGCGGAGCCCCGGACATGTTTTGGATTTTTCGTTTGATGGTTTTCATGTGTTGTGCAAGTCCAGTCAGGCACTTAATCCAAGTCTAAACTTAGGTGACTGCAGAGCACATCCGCTCCAAGTGGAACCAGTTCGTGGATGAGCTCCCCACTTGGTGGAGCCACCTGAAGGTCAAGGGCTCCGGATCCGTTTCAAGCTCCTTTGACCGACTGCACAGCTGACAATTGCAACACCCTGGCAAAAGAAGATTCGCTGTTCTAGAAGTCTGCAGAGAATCCAAAGACCGAAGCCCTGGTGTGTCACAAAAAGCTGAGGTCGGTTGCCTGGGCCGATGGTTCGCCTTCGAGGCCTGTTGCCAGGGTCACAGCTTCCACAACGAAGTCCCACAATAACAAAACCATCTGCTGAAGCCCAGCTGTCGACTGAGTTTACACTTCACAGTCACATCATCTGTGCAGCTGCCCTGTGTGTGTGTGTGCTTGTGTTGCATCGAAGTGTTTTTGGGTTTTGTGCTTTGGGAGAGGTACAGGAGAGGTCAGGTACTACGGGAGAAGGTAAAGGGGGAGAGTGCTGCGGCTGTGTGCTTGCAGGAATATACATAGCGCAACCGGTTGCGCTTTGGGAGTGCTTGCAGGTTGCAAGCACCTGGAAGACACTTACGGCTGTGTGCTTGCAGGAATATACATAGCGCAACCGGTTGCGCTTTGTGAGTGCTAGCAGGTTGCAAGCACCTGGAAGACACTTACGGCTGTGTGCTCAGGAATATACATAGCGCAACCGGTTGCGCTTTGTGAGTGCTTGCAGGTTGCAGGTAAAGGGGGAGAGTGTAGCGGGGAGGGCTCCGCCAACAAGCAAACAAATAGCCTCCAAACCCTAGACCCTAAACCTCAACCACCAGTACAGTACATGTTCTGTCGAAAGAACCTTGCAAGCAAGCAGACTCTGCCCCTTTTTTTTCCCTCGCAAGCGAGTTGGACTTCTGAATCTTTGTGTGTGCATCAGTACACAAATTTCAGCCATGAAACTCATGGTATTCAAAGCAAGTCGAGGCTTGCAGTATCGATTCCGGGGTAAGAGCTTAAGGTTTGAGGAAATCTGCCACAGTGGTTTGATTCAGGAATAAACTGCAACCCTCGCACTCACACGCCCCGGGCAGCAAGCATATCATTAAAGACAGTGACATGCTCCCAAGTCCATGTCGGCTGGCAGGCGAACATGTCCTGGGCCATTGGCATAGACAGCTCAAGGAACTTCTTCAAAGCCAACACCCAGCGGCGCAAATGGTAGAAAACCTTTCGGCTGCGACGACACTCGGATCCCATCGTAGACGAACATCAGGAATCCTTCTGTAAAATCGCCCGCATTCTTGTCGTCGCTACGACCATACATCTCACGTGGAAGGAGGACCACCATGCCGAAGTACCAGAACCAGTTTCCTGGAGAGAAACGGTTTCCAGCCTCAGGGTTCTCACGGTGGAATTCCATCCACCGATGGTGCCAATGCTTGATCGGCGTTCCCAGTGTCCAGCTGGCTCGGTACCTCTCCATGAGCAACTCCAGGAAACTTTGCTCCTCAAACAGCGTTGTGTAAAGCTGAACCAGCAACTGGTGCAGCTCCTCTCTTGCTGATGGCAGCTCGTTAAGTTCCACCAGAGGCTGCTGAGCATTTCCGGCCACGGCCATTGGCAAGTTGGGACAGTCAGACAAACAAGGACTGCAGTGGGGCCAAAATTGCTGAAGAAAACACAATGTCTAATATCCAGTGTAACAAGAATGCTCTTGTAAACTGTGTGGAACTAAAAGTCCAAAGCCCTAAGACGGCCCGCCTTCATTTCTTTCCAGAAGCAGCCCCTTTAGTGCATCCATGTCGAGTAGTAGGTGCATATTTCAGCACAAAGCACTCCTTTAACTTCAGCACTAAGCCTTAGTCACTAAGCACTCCTTCAAGCCACCCTCTACCCCCTGTCTCGGACCTCCAAATGTGCCAGTGCTCCACTGTTTCCAGGCATACCAGCGCACCATCATCATGTCCAGGGCCTAGCAGGCTTTGCAAGTCCAGGGTTTAGGGTTTAGGAGTTAGGTTTAACTCTTATTCAACTCTCCTAATCAACCTTCCTAGAGCCTTAACACTTTGAACCTTCCTAAAGGTTTAGGGCTTGGGCTCGGGCATCGGTTTGGGTATCCAAGCCTGGGCATCGATTTGTTTCGGGTTTCGTGGGTATCGGGTTTTGTGGGTTTGGGGTTTGGGTATCGGTTTGGGTATCGAAGCCTGCAGTTGTTTGTTTCGAGTTTCGTGGGTATCGGGTTTTGTGGGTTTGGGGTTTGGCCTTCTCAGGCTGCGCCGCGAGGCGCAATGCCTGGTTTCCTGGGTATCGGGTTTAGTGGGTTTGGGGTTTGGGCTTCTGAGGCTGCGCCGCGAGGCGCAAAGCCTGCAGTTTGTTTGGAGGGTTGTGGGTTTGGGGTTTAGTGTTGGGGGTACCCAAACGAGTCTCAGTCCGTACCCTACACTTCTGCGAGCAGCACACTTGGCCCCAGCTTTATGTAGTCGTGCCTAGTTCATGGTTTGCGTTCACGCTCTAGAGTTTAAGTTGTACGGTTCGGTGCAGTATGTTCAGCAGCCACAAGGAGTAGGCCGCCACAGTGCCGAAAGGCGCAGGGGCGATCGTACAAGAAATTGCAAACCCAGGGTGCAGTGTAGAAACCAGTTTGTGCATTCCATAGGATTTAAGGCTTAGGTGTAGTCAGTGTAGTCTTGCAGCAAAGCCCTGTGCCACCTCACCTCAGGCAAGACTGCAACCGTGATGAGCATACTGTTGCAGGAAGCTAATAATTACATAGGCTGTTCTTAACATAGCCCCCCCCCCCAGCCAACCACTACAGCCACTAGCTCGCAATGTCGGGCCCATGGAATCCAGGTTGGAGTCAACACTGGAACCAACACTGGAATCAAGATTGCAGACAAGGTTGGAGTCAAGAGTCGACAGAGCCGGCTTCATCCCACAATGAGCCTCAGCTCACCCGCAGGCAAAGGGAGAACAAGCGAAAAAAGGAGACTCCATCCAACGAGGAAAGAAGGGACTTGCGGTGGGCCGTCAGCAAAAAGCTGACTGCCACCCAGGAGGAAACACTTTCGCTGCAAGACCAGCTGGCTGAAGTCACCCAGCAAAGGGATGCGCTGCAAACCCAGCTGGATGCAACTGCCGAGGAGAGAGACACACTGCAGAAGCAGTGCTCGGATCTGCAGGCCCAGGGGGACAAGCTGCAAACCCAGCTGGACGCAACCACCGAGCAAAGAGACACACTGCAAAAGCAGTGCTCGGATCAGCAGGCCGGGCAGGTTTAGGGTTTAGGTTTAGGGTTTAGGGTTTTGGGTTTTGGGTTCAGGGTTTGGGGTGCAACTCCTGTCCTAAACCTGAAACCGTACATGAAACCCTGTCCCTTGTTGTTGCCTCTGCTTGACCCTAACAGGTGCAACTTGAAGACCTGGAGCATCGGTGGGCGAAGTGCGTCGAAAGCAACAGGCTGGTCGAGGAGGAGCGCGACAGGCTCCTGAAGGACAACCAGGCCAGGTACGGTTCCATACTCCAAGTAACTAATCGGAAGCATAAATTGGATGCAATCTTCAGAAAACCCGAATCCAACTGATGTCAGGAGAAAGACCAGAAACTGAAGGAGGCAGAGGAGCTCATCTCTGAGCTTCAAATTTGTCAGGCCGGCAAGGCCAATTCAATGCAAAGTAAACCCTAAACCCTTGGCCCCACTCTTAAGGCCCGCAAGCCCCATGCAAAGTCTTCCATGCACAGTCTTCTCATTAGCCCTAAACCCTGAACCCTGAACCCTAAACCCTGGCCAGGAAAATGAAACGAGGCAAGCAGATCTGCTCAAGGATCAAATGGGACATTGGATCGTGGATGCGGCCAGAGCAGATGTGTACAAGGAGAGAATGGAAAAGGCTCTTTTGGAGGTGGCCAAGTACAAGGCAGGACTGTGGATGTGCACAGCCTAGGGTTCAGGGTTTAGGGTTTAGGGTCTAGAGGTGGCTTAGAGTCTGAGAGCCCTGACAGGAGAAAATCTCCGAGCTGGAGAAAGGGGCCTCGCAGAGTGAGGCGGATCTTCGAAGTGCTCAAGAGCCTGCCAGCACTGCAGAGGCGGACATGGAGTAAAGACCGGGTTTGGGGTTTAGGGTTCAGTGTTGAGGGGAGCACTCATACCAACACCAGTCATTTATTTGTTCCAGGCAGAGAAGACCGTGTCTCATGTGGCTTGGGAAGCACTTCATGTTCATTTCCCTATTATATACATCTTAAAAGTTAAAACCTGGAAGACTTGAACCCTAAACCCCAGAAACCTCTTCACATCCAAGGATGAGTCAACAGCTGGAGAGGGGCAGCCGACTACTGTACGCCCGGCTGGAACTTTGCAGCAGGAGTCCAAGGCAGTGAAGAAGGGTACTCTGTTGTAGCTGCCCCTGTGCCCTCTCCTGTAACTGTTTCTATTTTTTTGAAGGCGGTTAAAATTAAGCGAGTCAGAAGCTGTGTGCAAAGGCGGTCTCCTCACTGGCAAAAGTCAAAGAAGAGCCCTCACTGGAAAAAGTCAAAGAAGAGCCCATGTCGGACGACGACATGCCAATGTGGGTGGAACACGAGATTGCGGAGCAGATCAAAGCCGACCTGTTGGAGGTGATCGATAGTGGGTGGGCCTACGACCGGTTCCACATGCAGCTGTATCCGAGGCCGGTGCGAGCTGCAAATGGCACTCCTGAAACTTGGAATGACCACGAAGGCCGGTTTGTCAATGCCAAGCTGGCGCAGCGCTGGCAAAAGTGGTCGTACTGCCCGGAGCCGGAACGTGTTTTGGCATCCTTCTTGGCAAGCCGGCCTGGGCTCCTCAGACTGGATGAGGAGTTGATGGGCCCGTCGACCCACCTTCTAGGCTTTTTGCGGGTGACGCTTCCGCCACAAGGGCAGCCGCTGCCTGGAGCCAACACCGACGAGACCGGTGTGGCCTTCCACGGCACACACCCGTATTGCCTCCGCAGGATCCTGCTGGAAGGTCTGCAGCCCTCCACTGCTGAAAGATCAGGCTCGCGTTATTTTTCTGGAGATGATGGTGAGTTTGAGGGCTTGTACGCCCACCACATGAACCGAGCGTCAAAGGCCCTGAACTACGCTCCGTTCTACTCGTTCATGTTCTTGGATGTCGGACCTGAGGTCAAGTGGTGTCCCTATGCCCTGAGGACAGTGGTCGAGATCCAGTATGTCGTCGCGAACTCCAGGCCAAACAAGAAGTCAGATCAGTTGCTTAGGAGCCCATGAGGTGAACTTTAAACTTTTGGATATACAAAGCCCCTACTAAAAGAAAAGTTTAAACTTTTTTGGGCCAGGGTATTGGGCAACTAAGGTTGATCCTGAAACCAGGATGTTACAAGGTCGTCGCCCTGCTTGTCCAGACAAAGGCCCCGAGCCAAATGCAGCTCGGGGAATGGATTGGCCCGTACAAAGCAAAGGAGGAGGCTGCAGCGCCGCCGGAGAGGTGAAAAAGTTTCCCATTCTGGAAACCTGATGATAAGATTGCCTGAGTTAGTGTACTTTGTGGTTTGTTTTTTTGGGCATTTATGTCGTCCCTCAGGAACCAATTCCATAATCTTGGGAACTTTTTCCGAGATCTTGGGACATGTGTAAATTTGTTCAGGTTTGGGGTTTGGACTTTGTTCGGAGTTTGGACTTCTCAGGCTGCGCCCCTCGGCTCAAAGCCTGCAATTTATTCGGAGGGTTCGGAGGCTGCACCTTTCAGTGTTTCTGTATGGGGACATACTTGAATAGGAACTGTTTGCAGTTCTAAGGAACCTTGCCTTTCAGGCTCGCCGAAAGCCGTTTGTTTCTGTGTGGAGAAGACAGGTGAGTAGGAACTGGTTTGCAATTATACTATCTTGCAAATCACCTGTCAGGATTCCTGGAACTAGAAAGCATCATCCCCCCAAACCGTTCCAAACAGAATCACTAATCTCCAGCCAAACAAGAATGCTCTTGTAAACGGTGTGGAACTAAAAGTCCAAAGCCCTAAAACGGCCCTCCTTCATTGCTTTCCAAAAGCAAGTGGCTCTGCTGGTCTTTCCAGCCTCGATACCCAGAAAGCCCTCCCAACCATCCACAAGCTTTGTCCCTAACGAACAACTGCAGGCTTTGTTGGACTGCGAGGAGGAGGTGCAATGCCGCGAGGAGGCGCAGTACCGCCAAGGGCCGCTATGTGCAAGTAAGCTTTGGTGGAGGAAAAACGGTTAAGAAGCAAGAGCTTACTTTTACCAGGGGTTGCCTATAACACAGAGGTCAACAATTTGACTAAAGCTTACTTGTTGACTTTGCCTGCTTTGCCTGCTTCAGGAGCACAAAACTAATCATTCATCCTCTGCATCCTCATCATCCTCATTGTCCGCTGGCAGTTGTGCTCCCGATTCTGCTCGCACTCGTATCGGTCGAACTTCGGCTGGCATCTCTCTTGCAGGAACAGGAGGGCCGCCATCATCATCAACGAACCTGAGAGACAAAGAGTGTAGGGTTTAGGGTTTAGGGTTTAGGGACAATATCAGCCTAAGGCTTCTAAGGGTGAAGTGGGCTGTGTCCGGGTCACTGGTTGTCGATCCTTTGTTCAACTAAGCAGCCTGTGGTTCAAGAACTCGTACTGGG